CCAGCCTTTAAGAATAGTCTCATTTTAATTAAATTTTTAATAATTAAAAAGTATAGGAAGCCTAATACAGTAAATATTTAAATTTTAACCTAAATGGAAAAAAAGAAAACAATGAACTAATTTTAAATATAAATATTATGCAGGTTTAAACTTTCAATAAATAAAATTATAAAAAACAAATGAAAACAATATATTAGATTTTAATAATCTAATATATTGTTTTCATTATTAATTTTATTAACAACTCTGGCAAACCCGGTTCTGGCCGGAATTCAAAATTTTTAACCTGGCGCACACCTAGCATTTATTTTAAAAAAATACAAGAAAATAAACTATTTAAACCAAAAATACCACTTTGCCAAATTTTTATTTATGTATATCAGCTTTTTAAACTTTTTTTAAACTATTTTGTTTACTTAATTATTACAGAGTTCATTTTTATAGTTTTTATTTAAATTAAATAGAAAATTTTTTTATATAGACTGTTTATTGAAAACAATAACAAGATTAGGGCAAGTTTGTTATTCATCCTGGTAAACAGAATGGATATTTTATTTATTTACTGATTTCATAATATTAAAGTTCTTTTCATAATTAGGAAAAATATTATTTTTGATTTAAAAAAAAATACTTTTAAAAACTATTTACAATTTTTGCTATAATTTTACTAAGGTCAGTTCAAGGTTTTACTTGAAGTTTCATTTTCAGATATATTTCAAGCTCATCAAAAAACTCATATATTTATTGTTGAGCTTTTATTTTGTAAGCAAGAACCCCACTAAGTCCCTGTTAGTACCACACTTAACTTGTTCCTTTCTGCAGCGCCTTTGATCGGCAAGGCGATCATATTTTGAATTCATTTTTTAGTTTTATAATTTAACAGAAATTTGTGTTACCATGACATTCCATTATGTCAAAGTTGAGACCATCACACTGGTTTATTGAATTAGACACATTACAACTTCTTGATCTGTTCTTAAATCCATATGTATCATTACAAATCGACCAATTGCTCCATGATGTCCAAAAACCTTTAGTAAAAATGGTATATGAAAAAAAGTAAGTAATCAGGGAAATTTTTATTTCAATTTTACATTATTTTTAAAAATAACATAACATTTTTTATTGTGAACACGTTTTTTAAACTTCTATATATATATATTTTCAAAAGATTTATTCTATAATAAAAAACGCGGAATAAATATTATTCAAACAATAAGAAAGCCAAAATAATAATTGTTCATGTTAAGAAGATGGTAAAATAAAAAATTTGTTTATTAAGTGATGGATTTTTCTATCAGATGTGGAGCATTTTTTATACTGTTAACTTATGTTTGGGCGGAGCAGTGTCACATAATAATCAAATTAAATTAGTAAAGTAACTTTTAAAGTCAGGTAAATTAATTCATTTCAATATTAACGCAATTCAAGTCCTTTTTTTATTGTATTTAAAGTATATGCAATTAGCTCATTTTAGAACTACTCAACTTTTTTAAAAACAAGATTCATTCAAAAAGACTTTTTGCCTAGCAAACTAATTGTCAATAATCATATCAACATATTGCCCTCACCTTTCAATTAACTTTGTACTAATAATGAGGCCTTGTTTTAAAGCGTTATGAGCGATTTACGTACACCTTTTTTACATAAAGCAGTAAGCGAATTCGGTTAAGCAACTTTTTATCTCTTTTTATCGTTTAAATTATTCTGTAAGCGGTAAGATAAAAAAAGTAATCAATTTTTAAAAAAATCACCTTATCTTTTAAATGATGTTTAAAAGTTTTAACGACAATTATGTTTGACATAAGCGCTATTTACTAATGAAAAAAAATCTCAAATCAAATTAAAAGTTTATTTTTCTTTTGTTTTTATTTTATTGCAATGATTGATTTTTTAAGCTTAAAGCAAAGATCATAAAAACATAATTTAATTCTGATAAAAAATAAATGATTTAATTTAAAACTAATTTAATAAAAATATATAATTTTATTCTAATAAAAAAAAAAAAAAATTTAATTTAGATTTTGAAAATGTTTAATGTAATTTTGATTTAAAATGTATATTTAAGTTTATTAAAATTAAAGTTAATGCTTGGGTTCAACTTAACTGCCAAATCTATTTAAAAATATTACTAAATATGGTTCAAAATTTAAATTTTATTTGTTCTTAAAAAAAAATCAGCTTATTTTTATCATAATTGTTTTTTCGGTTTGCTTCCTAAACATTTTTTTTTTTTATAACGCATATTAAATTGCAACGATTACTTTTTAATAAATGATATACACAGCAATATAATTTTAATAGTAAAATAATAAACTAAAAAACTTTTAATAAGTAAAGTAAATAAATTAACTTTATTTTTTTTTTAGTTGTTATTCGCTCAATTTTTTCAAGTAAAAAATCATTTGTAGTTGCAAAGACTCAATATGAAACTTAAGAAATAATCATTTTAAAAATTCAAAAATTAAACATAATTTAATTCATTTATGCAAATGTCAAGAAAGGAAAGAAATTTATTATGTGGTATTGGTGTTGTGGTAGAGTGCTTGCTTCATAAGCAAAATGTTTTAAGTTCAATCTCCACCATGCCCCTAATAGTATCACGCTCAACTCGTTTCTCCGCGCAGCTGTCTTGTTTGTCAAGGTTCGTGTTTCAGAGCTATTGAGTTGAGAGAGGGTTATACCACAAATAAGTAGCCTCCTTGTCTGCAGTGGCCTTCTCGGCCTTAAGAATGTGAATTAACAAAAAAAAAAAAATCAAACATTTTAAAAAATCCAATATTAAGTTTAATTATTTGATATTAAAAAAAAATAAAATAAATATTTCTTTATATTAATAAAAAAAAAAAGCTGTTTAATAATATTTAACTTATTTTGCGGTAATTAATATTATTGCAGTAATTTAAAAAAGTTAATGTTTAAAAAATAAAAACATGTAGAGAACTTTATAACATTGAATAAACTGTTAAGCTAATGCATTAGGCATTTTTTATATAAAACATGGCCTAATAATGTTTCAATTGCCAACACACTGAACAAGGCTTTTCAATCTGCTTTTACTATTGAGCCTCATAATCAAAATCTACTTCAATTCCCTCAACATAATTCTGCTTCTCTTTTTAATATTTTGCTTTTTTATAAATCTGTTTAAAAACACTTTAAGGCACTTGACTGTTATATATCTTCTGAAGAAGATTAAACAAGCCATTGTGTTCTTGAAGCTTGCACCAGCACATTAGCAGCTATGCTTGCCATGATTTTTTAAATGTCAGTGGAACAAGCAATTGCACCAAAAGCATGGCTTGTTGCTAATGTAACTCCATTGTTCAAAAACAGATCTAAAACAGACCCAACAAACTACAAATACTTTTGCACCTCATTGAATTATAGAAAAAATGGTTAAAGATAAGGTTATTTATCAATTAATATCAAACGATTTTATTTCTAATGTCTACACAGATTTGTCAGCAAAAAATCCTGCATTACAAATTTACTTTAAACTATGGCTTTTTTGACCAAAACTGCCTAACAAGTTACCTGTTGATGCCCTATTTCATGATTTTGCAACAAAATTTGACAAAGTTCCTCACAAAAGATTACTAATAAAGCTTGACTCGTATGGGATTAAAGGCAATATCTTAAATTGGGTAAGTGTTTTTCTTTCCAACAGAACACAACATGTCATCCTTAGAAATGGTTGTGGTTGTTTTTTTTAAAATATACTTTTGTTTATAAATTTTTGGGTTCTTTTTCAATTTTTCCAACTAATTTTAAAGCTATCAAGTTAAATCATTTAAATGAGACACTTTATTAACAATACTTAATGATAATAAATAAAAGTCAGGGTCAAACATTTAATAAAGTTTATGTTAATCTCAAAAAGCCTTGGTTTTCACACAACCAATACTATGTAGCATGTTTCAGAACCAAGCCATTTGATAATTTGTTTTTTAAACTTGATATATATGCATTTTAAAGTATGACATTGAACGAATATAATACAAATAATGTTGTATTTGTAAATTTTATATTTTTAATAACTTTTGATAAGTATTTTTATGTGTCATATGATATGGTAATGTATTATTTAATATGTGTATTTATATGTTATATAAGGATATATAGGTTTATATTTTGCAAGTGTTCATGTAAGTGTTTCTATATGGGTGCTGTTATTAGTTAAAATATGTACAATAAACTCTGAATAAATCAATAACCCTTAATAACTTATACTAACTTTAAAATTCCAGTTAAGCCTTTATTTATGGATTATAGTCTCAATAACTCTTAAATTATCTAACAAATTAATTTCTTGGTCCTTTAGAGGTTTGAGTTATTGAGAGTTTACTGTAACATGTTAGGCTATTTGTTAACTATGTGATGTCATTGTTGTGATGTTTTGTGTTGATAGACGACTCGGATTATCTTCATGTCAGAGTCTATTGTTACAAATAATTATTGAGTTGATTCATTACTGAAACTGACAACATATAATCATTCACTAAAAGCCAAGGATTCGGTTTTCAAATAAAAATATAATGGTTTATCTTGTTGTGATTATTTATTTTTAGCGTTTCTTTTTTAAAAAGAGTTTATAATCTAAACTTGCAACAATTAATTTTGAAACTTTCAAGATTTCAACTTTTTCTTGAAATAGTACATAACATATTAATGTGTAATAAATGTTTCCAATGAAATTTTGTTCCATACTTTTTTATATTAAATATAATATTTCTTTATAACTTTTTTTTTTTATTTTAATTTTTTTTTTAACTTTATCTCAAAAAAAATTTTTTATTTCTTACATCAATTTGTATATTTTTTACCACGTTTTTATTAGATCGCTTTCTTGTTTGTTTGTTTGTCCGGGTGAAATTTTGCAACTCAATTTTAACCCACTTTTCAATTAGCTAGAGCTCTGAAACTTTTACTATAGCTCAGAACCCGATGACAATGCAATATTATACTACTTTTACCATGATTTGCCGAGTTTCTTGAAC